TTTTTTTTCCTAATTTTATTGCAAATATATGTATTGTTTCATATTGTTATTATACTTAAATTTGTGCCAATAAAGTTATTATTATAAGTATTATTATTATTACATAGTCTAACTGCCAGCAGTAAGACCGCAGTAAGGAGCAAGACCCGCTGCTTATGTTTTTATTAAGATTAAAATGTAGATATTGTAAATATTTATTAAAGATTTTATAAACAAGCGAACGGATTATTTTGAAAAAATGAACTTATCTTTGCAACCCCATTTTGAGATATTACGAGCCCCCATAAGGAGTAAGACGCCTTACAAATTTATAATCATTGCCCTATATACGTTCGAAGATGAACGCGACCTATCCGGATATCTAATTTCTGCTAACCCGATTAAAGTGAAAATCCGCATATGGCAAGGAAATATTTCTGGATGGAAGCGACAAACCGCATCCTACTACATGACTGTACCTAAAATACTCCGCCATTTCTCCAAGAAACAGTCTCTCGAATTCCCGACATTCTTTCCCGAAATATTCTCCCCGGATAACCTGAAGCCCTTCATCCCTTATATCGTTTCCGATTGCTGGAAGGTACTTTAACCGAACTTCGACCCGTTCCCTGTACAGGACCGGCACATAAAGGACTAAACGATATGTAAGGGTTACATAATATATGAATATATGAAAGTTTATGGAAACCGGCAACATTGCTTTCATACTATTTCGATGGTGGCAACTTTGCTAACTAATAGTATGCTGGGAACTACAACGTTTTGACAGTGGCGTGCATTTAAAAAATTCATCTTGTTTTATTAATTTATCTATGGCACAAGCAGTAACGCACGACTCGTTACTGAAAAAGACCCAATCCCACTCCTCATTCCATTAAGCCTGTTCATCCCAGCCTCCCGTAGACCCACTATCCTACTTCATTCAAATTCACTTAATTGTGGGAGGCATTACTAAACAATGTTTAAATACCATAAAAGCAGTAACACTAACAGCCGTATGCATAGTCGATCGCCAGCGATTCGCCGGCGAAAGCCCAAAAAGCTGGCGACTCGCCGGAGATTGTCACCGGAATGTCATTTCACGCAAGTTTTTATGTTCTTTTATAGGGAAAAATTTGATATTCGTTCATTATTTTTTAAGAAATGAATCATGAATAAAATGCTAAAGATACCGGTGATAATCCCTATAAAAGAAAATAAAAAATTGCGTGAAATGACATTTCGGTGACAATCTCCGGCGAGACGCCACCTTTTTGGGCTTTCGCCGGCGGATCGCCAGCGAATCGCCTGAATGAATCTCTGGCGAGTCGCTGGCGATCGACTATGCATACGGCTGTAAATATCTCTTAACAAATTCAACAAAAAAAAATAATTTTTTTGTTAAATTTTCAAACTCTAGTATTTGAAAATAAATTGGGACAAAAATATTATCGTTCACTACACTTCATGTGACCAATAATTTGACAAAAAATAATAAATATATCTAAGCAATTTCATTGTCACATAGCCTATATACCAAATCATCCTGGTAAATGGTTTCCGAGAGAAAATTTATTGAAAATCACATCCAAGTAGGCTGTAACAATAAACTTCAATAAAGGCGATTTTCGAGGAAAAGTTAGTGATCAACAGTTCGTTGGTAAACATCATATAAGTCCTACAACAAGTCGATAAAGAGGTGCTCCTACATTACCAGCTGAAACTGAGATATTTTGACATCGTTCTAGAACTTCTAGAAATTGAATTTGTTATTATTTTTCTTCCAATAATAATAATGAGAACATCAGGACTTCACATCGCTGGACACATCCTTAAAAAAAAAAGGAAAAAAGGTACTACACATCACACCTAAAAGATGGTGAATTAATTGAGCTTATAACATCTTTTAAATTTTACAAGGCCTAAAAAAGAAACAGATAAATGAATGCATTCACTTAGAATAATAGTTATTTATTGAAAACTCTAAACGCAGAGATTGATGACATAAAATTCAGTGAACTTTTCTAAAGACATTTATTATTTTTAATTTAATTATTTTATGGACATTAATCACATTGATAATTTTAATTCACCTAGATCTTATTTTGAAATATCAATTTTTTTTGTTGATTAATTTTTTTTAATAATTTAATAAATTCCTTAAAAATTTGTAGTTATGAATTCAAAGGTGTAATTTATTTTTCTTATTTTTTTTGTAGCGTAATGAAAGCATACACCTTCTGTTGTTGGTACGGAGATATTCAACTACCTTAATCAAAATAATCAAAGGCCTTTTGCCAAAAAATAAATTTATTTTAACCTCAAATTTTATTTACGCGCCGTTTTAATGTAGTTTCTTGATAAAAGGTTTCTCAATTTGTAATCAATATTGATGGTACTTACCTGTTTAAAGTTTATGGGTGAGATTACAGAACGTCTGCAACTTTGCAGATCTGCAAATATGGTGGAATTACAGATGCAAGTATCAAGTTTTCGTATTCCAAAAAATATCTACAAATTCGCAATATTTATTGTGGTTTATTACCCCAAACAACACTAAACCTAAATCCATTACTATGTTTAAAAACTCTAATAATCTGCAAAGTTGCCGCCATATTTGCAGATCTGCAAAGTTGCAGACGTTCTGTAATCTCACCCTAGCTCTCCTAAAAGTTGTTACTGATGAATAAAGAGGTTTCTGCTCAATTGTAGACAGATAAACGATCTAAGAGGATCGTCATTTTTAATTTAAATACTTACAGCTAGCTGGAGCCAAAAAGTTGGATTGGGAATACTGGAGCAGAAACCGGTGTGGCTGATACGAGCCCTGCTGGCGCCCAATAACCTACCTAGGTATTTTTTCATTCGCAACGCACCCCAAAGCAACAACATTTATTGTATACATGTACGAGCATTGTATACAGTGGCGGCTCGTGAGGTGGTTCACAAGGACAGAATATAGGTATCAGTACAGATGTATGAAAAAACTTTGTGTTTTAGAAAGTTTATGACATACCTTTCTAAAACACTGACAGTTTTTTACCTATATCTGTACTGGGATCTATATTCTGCTACTGCGAACCCCCAAAACTTTGGTCACGAGCCACCCCTGATTGTATACCTATATTTTATAAGTACATATACGTTTTATTTTGATGAATGTTGAATGCTATTAATTATCGCTCATTTTCTGTTATTTTCGAAGCAGAAAAGGTTCATAAACTCTAAACTACCGTAAAATAAATAATAAAAAAATTCCCATACGATGCAGACTTTAAAAGTGACACTGTATATGCGACCTATTTTAATTTGACATTTTTTTATTTTTTTTTAAGTTCAAAACTTAAAATTATAAGAAGCAACGTCTCTGCTCTAGAACCGACCCGTTTTCCACATCCTAACTCCTTTTGTCTTCTCTCTTCTTATTCCCCAAAAACCAAATATTTGCCGAGGAGTTGCGACAGCGGCGTGAGTTTCGCCGCGCAACTCCCGGCTCACGAAATGAGTTTTTGTGAAAAGGTCGTCTTCGTGTTTGACTTTTCCTACTTGCCGGATACTTTTGATCGATGAACCGAAAACTTTCTAATTAGTTTTAGGTGGAAATGGGACACTAGGGATTCCCGGCGGGCGATACTCTACACACACGCACACTTTTAGTGAGACGGGAAGTTGAGAAGCAGTTCGGATTTTGGTAATTTTAAAGTTTGACTCATGAGAGTCGTGCATGTGTGCGAGCGTTTAACAAGGTTAGCAGGAGGTTTTGAAGTTGATGGGAATGAGTAAATACGAGCTATTTTAACATTACGGTACATGATAATTAATTTATTAAAATAAAATAGTTTTATGGTTAGCTTTTTTTACTTTGATAAGTTACTTGGGACATTTTATGGTATAGGCGTAGAAAAAATACAAATAATATTGTTAGTAAAAAAATATATAAATTAAATTGCAAATATAAATACAAAATTACTATTTTATTCTTTTATTTTTACAAAAGTTAGGGAATTACGTAATAGCCACTGATATAACAAATTTTGTCCAAAGAAGTTGTAGACGTTATAACTTACAACCGCAGAATTAATCGTTCGATGTTCCATGCTTTAAGTAAAGGTTCCACTTCTTATCTAGGCGAAAACATTTTTGCAAGTTATGATTTTGTTCATATATAATAAATAAATGGTGAAATTAAAAAAAATTGAATAAAACATTTGTTTATCCTGATTATATACAAATTAAACATGTAAATTATCAAGATATCAAAGAAATTTATTTTAGTAAGAGACAAGCTATAATAAAAAAGCTTATAAACTTAGTCACATGTCAACTATTTCTGCTTAAAGAAGTTCAAATTATTAGAAATTGGTGGGATGATTTAATAACATTTGTGTAATATAATTTTCATTATTCAAAAAGGTAAAAATTCGTAATTCCCATTTTGAGCCTTATTTTCTATAACTTATGCCATATCCTACAATAAATAATTTCCTACAAATTGTCTCCATTATTAACAAATTGTTTTCTCAGTGTATACAGCATTTTAGAATTTACTTTTGCTTAGTTTTGATTTATTATAATCAGATGGTACATACTTACAGTTTTAACACTTCTTTTTTACTTGAGAAAACAACATTTGCGTTTTATTATTTCCCTTAAAAGTACGTGGAAAAATATAGTGCAATTAGATGAACCACCATGGCACTCGAGGTCGGGAACATATTGTGCAGAATAGGGGACAAATCGGGCAAATGCAATATGTTGCCAGTCTGCGTAATATGATCAGTAGGCGTGAGCTCTAACCCCAAAGATGGAAAAGCTCACATATATGCTTGCTGGGTGGATTTTATCATATTTTTCATATTAAATGGATTCTAGCCTCCTTTTATATTAATCATTACTAATGTGGGTTTCCGTTAATAATCTATGAAAACGATTTTTTTTCCCAATTTAAATAAAAACTGAACGACATATACGTTTAGGGATTTAAATTTAACAATCACGCAAAATTTGGTGCTTTGTTACAGATTGTTCGTGAAAAAATGCCTGGGTTGTTCGGAACGCGTATCTCCTGAAGAACTTGTAATGAGAGCCAGCGAAAATATTTTCCATTTGAGATGCTTCGTATGCGTGGTATGCGGCATAAGATTGCAAAAGGGCGATTTGTATGTCATCAAGCAAGGCCAACTCTTCTGTCGGGCGGATTACGAGAAAGAAGTAGAAATGATGCAAGGATTTGGATATGGTAACAATTTTTTTATTAAACGCGTTTAATTTGAACTTATTTTATTTTTGAAATATGGGACAGAATCGGCAAAATCTAAAATAGTATCTTAGATACAATATCTCTGAAATGAGAACCATTGAAAAACTAGGCTTTATTAAACTAGAAATGCGCTTGACATTAACGTGACAATGAACATAACTTTGACAAATATATAATAGGATGTATAAATAATAACAAGTAGTCTGAGTAGACACCTCTGATTTAATGGATGCAATTCCAGTAGCTGTCCCACAAGGAAATAGGTATCGATTAGATACAGTTATTTCTTTTCCATCATTCATCCGCACGTGAGAATAATAAGGATTAGCTTCGATAAGTTCAGCTTGCTCCACTATAGGCTCGTACTTGTTAGCTCGATTAAGACTTTTAACTAGAACTGGACCTGGTGTCGACATCCACGTGGGTAAAGATTGTCCATAAGTTGATCTTCTATTATGTATAAACATTCTTTCGTGAGGAGTTGCATTTGTACTAGTACATAAGAGAGATCTAATAGAGTGTAACGCTTCTTGCAGGACTATTTCCCACTGTGATATTCGTAAACCTTTATCAAGTAATGCTAATTCAATTGTCTTCCAAATAGTGCCATTTTCCCGCTCGATCTGCCCGTTTCCTTTTGGGTTATATGCAGTAGTACGACTAGTAGCTATACCCTTCGAATTTAGAAAAGATTTTAATTCCTGAGACATAAATGACGAACCCTGGTCTGAGTGTATATAACCAGGCATTCCAAAAATCGAAAATAATGTTGAAAGATGTTTAATTATAGTCGCAGCAGAAATATTTGAGCATGGGAAAGCGAAAGGAAATCTCGAATACTCGTCAACAACCATTAGTAGATATCTATTAGGAGAGGAACTAGGTAAGGGCCCTTTAAAATCTAAAGAGAGGCGTTCAAATGGATTGGTAGCTTTAATAAGTTTTCCAGAAGTTCGACAAAATTGAGGTTTAACCTTGGCACAGACTGTACATGAAGATGATATTTTCTTTACTTCTTCTAAAGTAAATGTAAGATTTTTAGAACGAATCCAGTGAGCCGTTCGTGCTATTCCAGGATGGCATAGGGATTGATGAAGTTGATATAGATTACTTAGACTTGCCTCTGGCGTCACGTGAGCACATACCCTTGTGAACATATCGGCTACAAAATTCGCTTTTCCAGATCGGTAAATAATGTCGTATTTAAAACAAGAAAGTTCCAATCGCCATCTTTGAATCTTTTCATTTTTTATTTTCCCTTTGTTTTTATTATCAAACATGAAAGAAACGGATTTTTGATCAGTTATGAGTTTAAAACAGCGACCAATAAGAAAATGCTTCCATTTCCTTAAAGCCTCGACTATAGCGTAAGCCTCCTTTTCTATCGACGAATGATGTCTCTCGCTATTAGACAGAGTTCTTGAAAAGAACGCTACTGGTCTGCCATCTTGTGATAGTGAAGCAGCAATCGCCACGTCAGATGCGTCAGTTTCCACGGTAAACGGAATATCTTTATCAATGGAAGTAACCATAGATTTTGCGATTTCTGATTTTAACAATTCAAAAACATTGGACGCTTCTAAAGTCAACGGAAAAGTGGAAACTTCTAAGAGTGGTCTAATCTTGTCAGAATATTTTGGGATCCATTTTGAATATTGCGAAAACATACCCAAAGCTCGACGCAGTGATTGCTTATTAACTGGTAGTGGTAAATCATTTAAAGGCCGTAAACGTTCTGGGTCTGGTTTGATAGTATTATCTTGAATTTGGTAACCCAATAGTTTTATAGATTTTTCTGAAAATTTTGATTTTGTTTCATTTAAAGTGAGTTGGTATTTGTTGACAACTTTAAGAAATTTTTCCAAATTCTTATCATGTTCTTCTTGAGTTTTACCGCAAATTGTTGTCATCCAGATATGCATAAGTACCTTGTAAATTTTCATTCCTAATGATAGTGTCAATGACGCGTTGGAAACTAGCTCGCCATTCGTAACACCGAATGGTATTCGGCAAAATTGATACAAATTTCCACAAGCCTCGAATGCAGTATAGGGTCTTTCATGTTCAAGAATAGGAATTTGATGATAAGCGCTCTGCAAGTCAATAGTACTAAACACTTTATATTTTGATACTTCAGACACAATCTCTTCAATATTTGGAATAGGATACGCATCTAGTTCAGTGAAGCGATTTATTGTTTGGGCATAATTTATTACCATTCGCTTCTTATGGTTGGCATTACTTGTTATTAAAACTTGTGCCCTCCATGGTGATTTACTTTCTTCAATAATAGATTCGGCTAGGAGTTTCCGTATTTCTGTGTCTATGAACTGCTTATCTGCATCAGAAAACCTTCTAGATTTAATGGAGATAGGTCATGTGATAAATTTAAGAAAAGGGATGCTTCAGGAACTGCTGCTTTTAAGAGGTTACATATATTTAAAGGAGTTTTAGGTCCAGAGAATGACATTTCCACAGATGAATGTTGTTTTAGAAAATCATGACCCAAAATGATATCGGTACAAAGATTTTTCATAACAAGAAGTTTTACATTCTCATATGTATAATCACTATTTTCTAGTTCTAATGTTACAAAACAACTTTCTTCCACTTTACAAAAATGATCCAGCGAAGCCATATTTATGTTCTCTTTTACTGGAACCTTTGTTAGTGTAAAATGATTAGCAAACGAGGAATTGATAAAACTTGAAGTACTGCCAGTATCTATTAGTCCTTTCGCTGGCATTCCATTCACTTTGATAAAAATAATAGCTTGATTTAGATCTTTTGTAGAAACAGAATTAACCAGAGATATTGTAGCAAGGGTTTCATTAGTTGTTGCGACTGTTTTTATCGATCGGCTTTTGCATACTTTTCCATAATGTCCTCGTTTGAGACATGCTCGACAAATAGAATTTGATGCTGGACACTGATCTCTTCGATGGTATGGTTCTCCACAAAAATAGCATTTCCGATTACCATACCGTGACATAGGAGATACAGCCGCTACCAATTCTGCATTACTTCCCGCAGTGTTGTTAGAAGATTCATTATCTTTCTCAACTAGAACATTAACTGTAGGATTGAAAGTTGAAAAAGTCTCTGAGTTTAAAACTGCTGTTTCTATTGCGCGTGCTTGACTAAATATAGAATCCAAATTCAAAGATGTATTTTCTAAAAGTCGTTGTCTTATAGTAGTCGAAGAGAGACCCACGATGAAGGCGTCCCTTAAACAATCGTTTTTATTTTGCTCAGCAGATACAGCTTCAAAATCACAGTCTTTTGCTAAGCTTTCTAACGCCAGCATATATTGATCCACAGATTCTCCGACTAATTGTTTCCGAGTGGATAGGCAATGTCTTGCATAAATAATGTTCTTAGGTTTTATGTAGATTTGATCTAAAATTTGAATTGCTTGATTATAAGTCTTGCATTCACTTATCAATCTGTATACATTAGAAGAAATGTGATTAATGAAAACTCGAAGTTTTGTAGCTTCATTCAGTTTGTCTGTACTCGAAGAGAGAAAGTTTTCAAAAGTCTGTTTCCAGTGGGTCCATTCATGTTGAGTTAATTTTGAGTCTGAGTCTATTTCGAAACGAACCGGTCGTAGGAACTTCTCCATATTCAATTTCTAGTTTAATAAATTGAAATGAGAACCATTGAAAAACTAGGCTTTATTAAACTAGAAATGCGCTTGACATTAACGTGACAATGAACATAACTTTGACAAATATATAATAGGATGTATAAATAATAACAAGTTAAGTAGTCTGAGTAGACACCTCTGATTTAATGGATGCAATTCCAGTAGCTGTCCCACAAGGAGCTAGGTATCGATTAGATACGGTTATTTCTTTTCCATCAATCTCCTTTTTCAAAAATAAGTTTTAATGCAAAATGAAACGGGATTTATTTTTAAATCATTTTCTACCTTAATCTAAGAGTCTGAACGTAAACAAATGCTGATATTGTCCTAGTAATCCACTAAGGAATAATTACATTGCTTTATAAATGGATCATACTGTATAACGCATTCATTGTTGTGTTTTTGGATAAATTATTTATTGGTTATTAAAATAGTTTTTTTCAGGAGAATTTATTTGCGATGAACTAATGCCTTCTAGCAGATCACATGATGGTAGAAGGGGACCCAAACGACCAAGGACCATTTTAACCACACAGCAAAGAAGAGCCTTCAAGGCTTCCTTCGAAGTTAGCCCGAAGCCTTGTAGGAAAGTTAGAGAAAATTTAGCCAAAGATACTGGATTGAGTGTCAGGATAGTTCAAGTAAATCAATGAACAATTTCTAACAAAATTAAGTACAAAGATAAAGTAAATTAGTCAAAATTATTCTTATTATTATTACCAAACATTTAGTTGGTTTATATGGTATACAGGTAACTATGATTTTTCAGACATAATTTTTTAGGTGTGGTTTCAAAATCAAAGAGCAAAAATGAAAAAAATCCAGAAAAAGGCTAAACAGGAGAATAAAGGGGGCAAAGATTCAGAGAATGAAGAAAAGAAATTGACGGTTAAAGAAGAAGAACAAAGTAAGGATCGCTATTAATAACTTGTTTACTGTTAAAGCTAAGCCATCTACAAAATATGAAATTTCTTAAGGTAGACACATTGGAGAAACAAATATTTTTACTATTTTCAGGTCCACGGTCGACGCCATTTTTTAACGACAGTTGTAGTGATAACGAGGGAACGACTGACGAAGCCATCCTCCAAAGTTCGACGAACAATAACTTTATACATATAAAAGAAGAACTGGAAAACGAAGGACCTTTTTTTAAGAGCAATAGCAACATGCCCCTTCATGTGTTTACAGGTAAATAAACTGATATTATTTACAAATCATTTTGTACTTTGATAAATACGATAGTTTTCTCTACAGGTACATAGGCGTTCGAAATAACAATCAATACCACTAGCATATTGTAAAACTCTTCCTTATTATGTTATGTTGTTCTCGTAAATAGCATCTGCTCATCCATCTGGATGTGGTGCTACCTACTCCTCTACATTCGAGTACACTTTTGACAGACATATGCGGCATGCTGTCAAACGCTCCTTCTATCTAATAAGGTACACGTGACAGTTTCTTTATCAGTACAATATCCTGGATTTCATTATTTAGCTGTACCAGGGCAGATTTGTGTTCTGATTTAATTATCAGTAGCCTTTTCCATTGTTTTAATACAAAAGATCTAAGACTAATTGGTAGGAATGGTCTAGATCAGCTGTACTCAACCTTATTTTCCTCCGGGCCACATAAATCTGTTATGCTACACGGGCCACAATGTTCTAAAAAAAAGGTCCTAATGTTGTTTTAGTTGTGTTATTGCTTTAAAAATACGCAAGGACAGGACTATAGGTCAACCATTTCAGTTACTAATAATCGTATGGGGTCAGACAAAAAAGCTTGGAGGGGCGCACAGAACAGCTTGGAGGGCCGCAGGTTGAGTATGGCTGGTCTAGATTGTATGTGGTAGTAATTTTGCCTATGCCCATTAAAGCAGAAAATATTCTATCTTTACCAGGAGACTTAAAAAATTTAAAAGTGTTCACAACTGACTTTAATCGGTTAACATAACTTGCTTTCTAAAGGGTGATCCAATTTCAGTTTCCTACATTGGCACTACTGTAAATCAGACGGTTGATAATATGCATTTGTTTTCGAAGTGTCAAAAGTCAGTTTGTAGTAACACATTTACGAAACGGATCGCTTAACGACCGCTCGACGCATGCAAATTGTGCGATTGTTTTATTAAAACAACAATTCCATACGAACCGTATACAGACTATGGTCAATGTAATCGTCCTACGGAGCGAACTATTCGAAATGTCAAAAAATTTGAAGATACAAGTGTTGCAGATATCAGAAGGTCTCTGTGAATCATCGTCGTGCACGTTCAGCTAAAAATATTGCTGCAGTTAGTGAAAGCCTGGCTGCCAACCCAAGAATGTCGATTCGCCGGCGCTCGCAAGTTTTAGGCTTTTCTTATGGCTCCCTTTGGCGCATTTTGCATCGGGATTTGCATTTACACCCATATAAAATTCAACGAACACAAGAGCTTAAGCCTAGGAACCATAAAGAATCAACTTGAAACGTTAGATCATCTGAAAAACAATATTCGCCAAGTTATTGCCAACATACTGCCCGAAATGTTTGAAAAAGTCATCGAAAATTATCTAAAAAGGATCGACTTTTGCAGAAGGTCTAGGGGCGGGCTATTTAAATGATATTATTTTTCATACCTAATGAAATACTTAATATTTTATATTGCTTTGTACAGTCTAGTTGTGGCAGGTGTAGAGTTAATCTCTTCGCAGAATTTCTTGAAACTGTTACGTTTAGCTTTCCTCAGGGTTAGTACTAGAATGTTACGAAGCTTTGGCCGAAGTATCCATTAACAATGTGGTCACCTTAAGATGAATCAAAGGTCACTCGAAAGGTAACCGTTTTGCTCAGTCACTAGCCAAGAAAGCAGCCAACCAAATACTTTTTGGACTTGGCCCTTCTATTGGCCTGACAAAATTGGTAGGGACATACCTAATTAAAGAACATTCCCTTGTGAAATTCAAGGAAAGATGGGATGAAACAAGAAATTGCAGAGTTGCCAGGGAACTCTTAAGTTATCCTGACAACACCGCAGCAAACAAATACTTGACTATGATTAGACAGAATCTGCGCCTAGTTACAGGCATTCTGACTAGTCATTGCCAAGTACGGAAGCATCTCCATATCATGGGGATGGGGCTGTCAGAATCCGCACTCTGCAGAGGGTGCGAAAAAGAAGATGATACCATCGAGCATATCCTTTACGATTGTAAATAGTACTTAATTAAATCCCGGATCAGACGGGAATCGCGTCTATCTTTACTACGACATGGCTCGTTTGGATTCAGATTTAAAACAGCGGAGTGCGTTATGCCGCTAAGCCACCACGCAATGGTTTGAGTTCAGCTTTCAAAAAGACCGTACTATAATATTTTGAGAGTCGGGACAGTCAACTATTTTTAAAGATCCGGCACACTGAATCGGATCGGATCCGATCTGCCCTATAGCCGATAGTAATGTAGACAAGATAATGTTGGACAGCGGACCAACAGTTTTTTTTTTTTATTCCAGGCGTTGATACATTTAAGAAAACTTTTGTCGTATGTTAAGCTACTTATTTAGATATAAAGTCATCCCATTTTACATACATATATAATTTTCGGACCACTTCCCTCACCGAATCCTCCTAGTAGCGTACTAAAAATAATTTTAAAAAAAGGTTCGCAGCTTCCCGTAATGTCGGTTTACCGGAAAATTTAATTTCATACCTCCGAAATGAGTCCGCATATATAACCGCTTTAATGTTGTGTTTCTTTTTTGTTTATGCAAAATTTAATTTCGCAGAAAGTGCGGGCGCGTTGTACGGGTCCTGTGCAAATAAATACCTAATAGCCTCAAAGCGGGTTTTAATAGAATGCGGCATGCATGGGAAAAATTAAATTACGTTCAGACGTCTGCTTCAATTTCCGAATTTACGGTTAGAGTAATAAGATTTTTATGAGGTTCGCGGGTAATGAATTTTTGAAATAGATTGGAGTTTTAGATGTTCTTTTCTGTATGTAATATGTAACAAAATTATTTTATGGTTGGGAGTAATTTTAGTGGATTATAGGGTTATTAAATAATGTAGAACAAATTGACTTCCTCAAAACCGAGAATCTGACAATTGTTACAATTCTAAACTAATGACGCTTTGGTTAGAGATGCTGTTAGAGTATCATTACATATGCTCATCGAATCACCTTCAAATGGGATTCCATCCTCAAATTCGATAGACATACATCCTTATAGATACCGGGATTCACTAATATTTTGTACCTCTGGTAGATACTGGTTGATGGAATGAGTTATACACACTTCTCAATTTGCCTAACGTTTGCCGAAATTCTTTTGCCACAATTCATTCTAAAAAAAATGTTACTTTCTTTTCAAAGTCTAGAAAAGTTCTAATCTTTTACACAGCATGAATTATTAGAGTAATAATTAATATCAAATTAAAAACAATATAAGAAAAATAAGAAGTGAAAATGAAAAGAAGAAATAAGAATTTAAATAATTTAGGAATCATATAATAAAAAACCTGTTTAACAATATTGACAGATATTACTACTTATCCTCATATCAGAATCTGTTACTTGCTCATTGAAAAACCTACTTTCTGAACGCATAATAAAATATACGAAATATACGAATATATCTTAGCTCGCAAACAAACTACTATTATGATGTAGTTGTTAATGCAGTAGAGAAACGACTCTTTAATAAATGTAGTTCAAATTTTCTTCAACTTTCTTTGACTTTCTTCCACTTTCTTCAACTTTCTTCAACTTTCTTCAACTTTCTTCAACTTTCTTCAACTTTCTACAACTTTCTTCAACTTTCTTCAACTTTCTACAACTTTCTTCAACTTTCTTCAACTTTCTTCAACTTTCTTCAACTTTCTTCAACTTTCTTTAACTTTCTTTAACTTTCTTTAACTTTCTTCAACTTTCTTCAACTTTCTTCAACTTTCTTCAACTTTCTTCATCTTTCTTCAACTTTCTTCAACTTTCTTTAACTTTCTTCAAATTTCGTCAACTCTCTTCAATTTTCTTCAATTTCCTTAAAAATGTCTTTAAATTTCTTCAAATTACTTCGAATTTCTTCGTATTACTTCAAATTTTTTCGAATTTCTTTGAATTTCTTCAAATTTCTTTAAATTTCTTCATTTTTTTTTAAATGGAACACTCTAAGTAACTAATAATATTGTTAAAATGTAGTACTAGTCATTACACAACTGTACCCATAATTTGAACATTAAAACTATTGTAATAATCACGTAAACCTCAGAAACTCGAAGTTTGGAACATCTTGTGTAAGTACGTGGATGATATGAAAAAACCCTCAAATATTTGCCACTATATTTGCAATTAACCAGGGATTAACTCATCTTGTAGTTAAACCCATCTACTTTCCACACGAATATCAACACATTTCCTCAAAATCGATATAACCTTCTGCGCTTAGAAATTCTGACCATGTCATTATTACAATTAAATGTCCAATCTGATCAGAAAGTTCAGAAACAAATAATTTAAACCTTTATTATTTAACTTTTTTGAAATATCAATTATATTTGCAGGTTTGGACATCAATAAGCGAAGAGAGGACTACATGGGCATGGCGTTTCCTGGAAACGCTGATTCAGAGCAACAACCCATCTTCATGCAACCACCCATGGCCCATCAAAACCTTCCACACAACGGGACCGGCCTCAATCCTATAGACAGGCTGTACTCCATGCAAAATTCGTATTTTTGTGGGGAAGAACCGATGGAACCCTAAAATTTAAAAAACTATATTATACCGTTATAATACTCATTCCTTACTTTTTGCTATGAATATGTGATTACGTATGGCATATAATGTGAATATGTAGCTTTTAAGTGGATACATTTTTGTTAATTTTCGATATGTATAAATAAATACTGTTAAAATATTTGAATTTGTTTTTATTTTATTATTTTTTAATTTTCACCCATTTTGGAATATAATTAATATAGTTCTAGAGAGACTAAAAAAAAATTAGTAGACCAAAATTGGACTTATTTGCCACACAAAGAAATAGCAGATGCACATACTTCGTGTTTTGGATATTAGATCCAGACTCTAGTTATGTTGATGCATTTATAATCAATTGGAACAAGATTTATTTCTATAATTTCTCTCCTTTTGTTATTGTTAGTGAAGTTTTCGACAAAATTATTAGTAATAAAGCTGCAGATATCACAATGCTTTTCTCAACCATGGTATTCACAAATTAAAAATATTTTATTTACAAGAAAAGTATTCTAGATATAGGGAGGTTATAGAGACACCCTTGCTTACTAAGCAAAATATCAGATGTAGTAGTATTTATCCTCATAGCTTCTTTTAAAGAAAGTACACTAAAAAATTACTATTATTATTATTATTATGCAAAACTTGATATTATTGCAAATAGGAATCCATAAATCTGCATGTGGACGAAATAAAACTAGAAATGCTATTATTTATCAATTTTACTCAAAAATAAATGATTTTTACGTCTATTTAATCTCAACAACTAAAAAATATATTGACAATTAGTTTAAAAGAATTTAAAAAAATAATAGTAGCTGGATATTAAATATATTCGTTTAGTTGAACGCAATGGCATTTGACAGAATTTTAAAAAATAATAGTAGCTGGATATAAAATATATTCGTTCAGTTGAACGTAATGGCATACTTTTTTGTTTTGTAGTCTGTGCATATATTAGTTAATATCCATGTGGGTGTAGAAAAAATATTTATTACAAGTTTATTAGTAATTTTAGTCGTTAAAATCATTTATTTAAAGTACTGCTTAACTTTCAAATAAAAAAACACAAATTTAATACTGACCTTACGTTTCAGTAGTGCCACCTGGTGGCGAAACTTCACTTGGTAGCCCTCAGTCAAATGACCATATATGATAAAAAAACAGAAATAAAGAAATTTAAAATTAGTTATTATAATTTAATTGTCAAGTAATTAAATAAATTCAAAATGTTTCCAAATACCACGCAAAATACTTGCATTTACATTCGTAATCTATTGCGGCTGAAATTATTAGCTTGTTATAAATCTTTTTTAGTGCTCTAACAATGATAAAGAGAAATTTATTGAATGGCGACTTTAAAATTTATTCTGTGGGGTGCAAATGAGCCCATTAATTATTTACCCTTTGAAGCCGCGTATTTTCCACTTGACAAAACATTAACAAAATATTAGCTACCCTTATGGCTATGGAATAGTGTGGGGTATATGTGACTTTTTAACAAGAGACAAATATCTATTACTTATACACTAAAATCTTTTAAACAATATCATATATTAAATGAAACATTTTTAATAAACTTTTGACTATTTAAACTTTAGACATAGGAAAAATATGTGAATAAAAAAAACGAATATTGAAGGCGAAAATTAAGGATGAAAATTAAAGACGAATATTAAAGATTAATATTAAAGGCGAATATTAAAGACGAATATTAAAGGCGAACATTAAAGACGAATATTAAAGACGAATATTAAAGACGAATATTAAAGATGAATATTAAAGAAAAATAATAAAGAATAATATTAAAGACGAATATTAAATACGAAAATTAAAAACGAATACAGAAGTCGAAAATTAATGACAAATAATAAAGACAAATATTAAAAACGAATATTAAAGACGAATATTAAAGACGAATATTAAAGACGAATATTAAAGACGAATATTAAAGAAGAATATTAAAGACCAATATTAAATACGAATATTAAAGACGAATACAGAAGTCGAAAATTAAAAACAAATATTCTGTAAATTCATGAAAAATTTTAACTCATAAATAACAATAGTTCATTTGTTCCACAAAAATCTATTCTATCTTCTTAAACTACTTTCTAAACTGTTTAACTTTAATTAAAAACCATACCATTTTCAAAAATTGATTCATTATTATCCAAACAGCGGTCTCTGTATCTTTGAAGACACTTGTTGCAACAAAACACTCTTAATTCATCGTTGATAAGATAAAACAAACAGGACAGTAATCCTTTTTGTGCAGGTGTAACTATTTTGTATGAAAAGGAACACCTGAGTACTTTAATTCTTTGTTTGGTATGTAAAAAAATCATATACTACAAATATTATGTGCGATACACTTAATCCCTATTGTCTCATAAAAAAATTGTGGGGATATAGAGTGTCTGCAGGGTGTGCTTGAATGGAAGGGTTTAATATCTTTGTTAGTTTTGTAATACCTACAAACCACATAGGTATAAGTAACTTTGATAATTATTATAAAAGGTATGAACTAGCTAAAGGTTTGTAATACATTGTAGGTCGTTTACTTAATCAAGACAACCAGATTTTTTTTAATATCTGTAACATAGTAGAATGAAATTCATACAGTATTGATTAAGGGCGTTAAAGACTATTGTAGAGTAAAAATAATAATGAGCCATATGAATAAAAACGATCATTTGCTTATACTTGCAAAATTCAAAGTAAATGCTTTAAAAGGTATGAATAAAATTATTAAGTAAATCCTTTTGCTTAAAAGAAGGAAGCAAATGCTCAAGAAATAAAAGGATTTACTTCAAACGTATGAATAAAGCCAACCATTTACTTGCGGAAAAGTGATGCTGCTGTTCAGTAGCATCAGAGCTGTTATCATTAGAGGTTTAGCGAATTCAACGTGGAAGGGCCTTCCTCTGTCTTTACACGGTTATGCGGTTGCAAGCAAAATGGCTGAAATGTTAAATATCCGAAATGTAAAATGCTACAAACAACGCCGTACACTGCAAACTAGTGATTTTAAGAGCATGTTCTGGTTTGAACAGGAAAATGTGGAGTGGTTAGCTCCTAACTTTCCAAGCGGGAGCATAGAATGGCGCGGTGGTGCATTATCACTTGTCCAGAGTATGAAAATCTGTTTAAGATATTTGGCAAATCCAGGTTTCCAAAGCGGAATTGGTGAAGAGGTAAGCATTGAACAGTTCACTGTCTTTCGCATAGTTCGAATGGTGGTAAAAAACATATTTCAACAGGCCAGTCATTGGATTCGGTTTCCGAAACGTTACCCTGCCGTAATGGAAACTGAACAACTGTGGGCAAGTAAGTTTAGATTTCTTGAGTAATAATGGAGGCAATTATTTTTTTTTTTAATATTTAAAGACATAAAAATTGGTATTTTTGCTAAACTGATTGAAATTAATGAACACTAGCCAAACAATATAGCCACTCACAAACGACCCGTTTTGAGCAATCTGTATAACTATATATGTTGCCATATCTTAACTGTCAGTTCCCACTGGCAGCATTTTGACAGATGCGGCTAAACAGAGTACGAGGTAAATAGTCCCACATGAAGTTAGTTTCATGTGTCGTCTCCTGTCACTTTTACCTTTAGTCTGAAAGTGAAGTGGAACTGTCAATAAAAAGAAGAATTAAATTATAAACACCATTTTATAAATAAACAGATTTTGAATTTTAAAATCATAAATTTGAAAAACATTTGAAATTCGTTAAAAAAATAGGTATATATGACAAAGTTTGTTCATAATAAAAAATATGTATATTCTATAACTATGTTCCATTAAGAATGGGACACAAAACAACTAAATATTCTCTGTTTTTTGTATTTTTGACTGACATGCCGCTGAACATATCACTATTAGCAAACTAAATTATTATGATTTGAATTGCAAACTTTCAGTACATGGTAATATGACTGAGTTAGAAAAAGGCTAGATTAAAAATGCCAAATAAAGAGTATATCACAAAGAATACGAAAGGTTCTTAAATGGTTAACTATTTTGTTTTATTTAAAAAAAGGCATTTGAACCATTTCTGTTGTATTATATCTAGACAAAGTATCGACAAAATTAATAAACGTATTGTAGCAACACATGTAAATCCTTCGATTCGAGACCGACCCGGCTCATTTCAGAACAGCTCCGCAGCATCGTAAGGCCCCCGACTTGCCCAAACAATGGGTAATGACTGTGTTACACACCATGAGGTCATGTCGGTATTAGGTAACGTTCGACTATTGACTAGGGGACCGACGTTATTACTGTCAGACATTATTAAAGCTCAAACGCTGAACGAAATTTAGTGCCTGCCCGAATTACCTGACAATGAATGTGTTTATGGGATTATATCATGGGATATTGCAGGGTATTAACGTCTGCTGAGCTCTAAGGAGAAAATTTTATGTCAAAATGGTCTTAAACGGCGAAGGATTGATGGGTAGGTTGATGGGTTGTGCGGAAAAATCCAGCTATTAAATATAAAATGAATGCTATAAAATACAAAGATTTTTAATCGGTTTATTATAAACAGAAATTTCATTAAACGGGCTGTAAAAATCATCTCACTGATAATTTAAATGAATAATTGAATTGAATAAATAATTTATGAATTTCTGCCAAATTTCGGATATAAAGTCAGTATATAAAGTATGGTACAAATGAGATAAATAATCGATGTTGACCGGTCACGAACTGTTCTGCCTGTCGTAAGACGCGACTAAAAAAAATTGATTTTGGATTAGCCTAATTTTTGATGAGCTGAGAGATAGTTTGAGACTAATGAGGCACAAGTACAGTGAAGCTGGGCTAACCGTACATCAACTTTTTATGTATACTAAATATACATAATTCATTTAATCACAAAATTAAGGCAATGAACGTAGACAACACAAAAAAGAGCAAATATTCCCGATATCCGTTGCGTACAATGGTCGGAAATCCAAATAAAACCCCGTGGGGGTCATAAGTTGCGGTGTA